CCTACCACCACCCTACCACCACCTACCACCACCTACCACCACCCTACCATCACCCTACCACCACCTACCACCACCCACCATCACCCTACCACCACCTACCACCACCCTACCACCACCCTACCACCACCCTACCATCACCTACCACCACCCTACCATCACTCTACCACCACCCTACCACCACCTACCACCACCCTACTATCACCCTGCCCTAGGACAGCACGCTTTCTTCTGAAGATGGCTTACGTAGCACCCGTGTGCTTCGCAGTCGGACCCCGTTGAACCTCTGTAAAGTACAAAGGTTGCTGAGAATAACGATGATGAAGGCCATGAGTGAACACACTTCCTGAGCTCCTGGAATAAATCCTGTCATTACTTTGTCAAGGTGGTCTGCTGCCTTTCTGAGTCACTAGGGACACCTAAGAGCTGGCCCAGCGGCCTAGTGATGGGAGCCGGATCCCACGTGGCCAGCCAGTTTGAGACCTGGCCCTGAAGACTTGAGAAACAGGTCAGGTACGCATATGCATGTGTGCTGTGACCAATCCCCATGGGGGGATGCTTTCTCCCTCTCCTCTCCCTCCTTCTTGCCCTCCCTCCTCCCTCTCTCTTTTCTCTGGTGAGTGCACACACACTCAGACTATTAAAAAATTAAAAATAAGGGCAAGCCCGTGGTATGGCGGTTAAGGCAGCTGGATTCCATATGGCCAACTGCACAGGTCAAGTCCTGGACCTGGTGGCTTGAGAAACACAGCGGGTGTGTGTGCATGTGTTCCCAAATTCTTGAGAGGAGAGTGGAGAAGGGATTGCAGCATGGCCACCACCCCCAGGGTGGGGAGGGTGCTTTCTCACTTTCCTTCTCTGGTTCTCTGGCCAGCACACAAGCACTCTGACAAAAATAAGAAATAAACGCAAATGTAGAAAGAGACGGGTCCAGGTAGCGCCCTCCTCCGAGTCCGGGTGCACATGTGCAGACGGCCCACGGCCCACTGTCGCCCAAAGCCAGCAGGCTCTCCTTCGCTGGCTGGAGCCGCTGAGCCTGCCCAGCCTCCTTCCGGCACTGCCCGCCCTGCCCTCGCGGCACTGTGATTGGTTCTGATGTGGGTCTGCGAGAGAACTCAGTTCCCAGCCGAGCCATGAGCCAGAGCAGCCAGGACCCCTGACACTGCGAGCACTGGGGTCTGGAGGGAGCTGGAGGAAGGAGCCCTCGGTCCCTCTGTCCCTCCTGCGTGGGGACGTCTGTTGGCTGGGAGAGGACAGAGCCCGCAGGCCCTAAGGAGAGAAGGGCAGGACGGGAGGCCGAGCTCATCCTGCCAACCCCAGGACCCCGGGTCCACGCACCGGAGGCTCCATGCCCTCTCCCCGTCTGCTCAGGTTCCTGTTGTCCTCGAGCTTCAGCTTCGAAAACTAGGTTCTGTCGGCGCAACCAGAAGCCTCTCAAACAACGTGACACCTCGTGCTGAGTCCAGGCTGGCGGGATGTGGAGGCCCTGCACCTGCTCCTGTCCTAGGGAGCCGGGTCATCCCATCCACACAGGCGGACTAAGCGAAAGCAGATGCGGGTTACTGTGGACGTGGTTCGAGGTTGTCCCAGGCTCTGCTGTCCTGCACCCCTTCCTGTGGGAAGTCGGGAGCCCCACTGGCTGAATGATCCCGTCACCCAGCTGCTCCTCTCCTGTCACGTCCCTTTTTTCGGAGGTTGCCAGGTGCTCCCCAGTCATCGAGCCTGGGAACCCCGGAGGCAGCGAGGTGACTGTCTTCTCCCACGCAGCTCTGACAGCCAGCGATTCCTGCGGGTGGCCAGGTTTGCTTCCCAAGTCCTGCATCTGTGCCTCCCGTCCTCGGGACGCCTGCCTTCACACACGCCCCTGGGTTATCCCATGGGCCTCCTCGCTGATCTCCCCGTCCCCACTGCGCCTGTCCGACCAGTCCCACCTGCCCTTCGAGAAGTCAGTCTGGCCATAGAGTGGTCCCAGGTAGCGCTCGTAAATGGCTCCCCTTCTCCCCGATAGAACCCCTATTCTGGGCCCGTCCGCCTCCCGGGCCTCACCTCCCCACCTCTCATAACTCGCCTGCGTCCTGGCTACTCTGGGCGCCCTCCTGGCCCCGGCACCCGGTATCACAGAGTGGCTGCCTGCTCACCTGCTCACCTGGCCTGGCCGAGGAGCAGGCTGCAGCACGTGGACGCGTTAGCCTCCGCGGCAGGTGCCAGGTTCTTTTCCCGGGCAGGGCAGGCGCGGGCTCGTGCTGTTGGTTTCCCCACCCACGTGAAGCCGCGGGCTGGAGAGAGCGGGAAGTGACATGACAATCGAAGGCCATCACAGTCATCGCTTGGCTGGGAACTGAGTTCCCTCACAAACAAATTCTATTCAAAACCCAACACATTCTATGAAGTAAATTCTTACAGACTCCCTTACCATTTGCAAGTCAGTTGCTCCTTTATCTAAGCCGAGTTCAAAGTCCATTTGATGTGTGCGGGTAGGTGTACGGGCACAAGCTTCCTTTCCTTTGTGGGGGGGAGAAACACAGGGATGTATTTTTGACGAGGTCTCCTGTGTCACAGTCCTCCTGGGCC